ACGGTTGGCAACGAGACCTAGAACCTGTGCAAGGACAGAGAAGCCTGATAAGATGTGAAGAACTTTGAAGATTTGCATAAAGATTTGAAAAACTCAGAAGGATTTTGAAGATTAGTACAAGAAAGATTCAAAGTATAGTTTAAAAAAGTGAGAAGAAGACCTATATAAGGATTCACGGCGACTGTTCAAAGGTACTAGTGGCCGACCATCAACTAATGCTCATTAATGATCTTGGGAACCGTACCGACGCGACGCCTCGGTCGCTTCTCTCGCTTACGTCACAAGGGTAACGACATAACTGGTCGAGGTGTAAAATCGAAGGCTCAGTTCGCTTCTTTTCATTACACTCCAAGAAACGAGGGGACGATCCGTATACAGATAAAATAGGAACTTGCCCAATTTTGCCATTTAATCGAAGATCAGGGCATCACGTCGAGGGTCAGTCCCGTAATGGGTCAGGTCATAGCACGAAGATAAAGTATCAAACTCGAGAATCGAGGCGCTCGTCGAGATCGAGGCTAGTAGCTGTCGAGACCATATATGGCACACCTCGAATGAAGCACAATAACAGAAAGGCGAGATATCCGTAACCGGTCGAAGACCATGGCGGAAATCCCGGAACATATTAGATCAAGGGCGGTTGTTTAGGCTAATCATGAGATTTACTTCTGTAAATTAGAATTATACCATAATTACAATTCCTATACTATATAAAGAGGAGTCCCCATCATTGTAGATATGATATTCACACAGATCAAAGCAATAAAATATTCTCTCTTTAGTTTACGCTCTCTTGTTTATTAGCTCGTTGCATTTTAACTGTTCTTACATAACTGGCTCGAGGGTATCCGATCTCGAGGGCTCTGTCCAAACGCTGGTTTTCTTTGTATTATTGTCAATTTGCATCTCTTATCTTTACATTTATCAATTGGTATTAGGTGAAATCACGTATCCTTAAAACCACATTATAAATTTAATTGTTATCTAATTTTTAGGGTAAACAATTTATTCAATTATTATCACGAGGGTCATTACCACGACTCTTGTAAAAAATCCAATAATGTAAAAGAGAGTGGGAAATTTTGAAAAATACTGAATGGTAAATAAGTCCGATTTTTCGTAGTTGAAAGTTGTTCAAATGATCTCTCTAAGTGGAAGTAAGTTATATTTCAAGAGACTATAGCTGTTGAAGGAAGTGGATCTGCGACAAGTATTAGAAAAATATATTTGTTAGAGAGAATTCCCAGATTATTGAAGAAAATGCATATGGTGTTGCCGATAAAAAACGGTAACGTTTACACCAAACAAATAGATTCATAAGTGACCATGACATGTGTTTGTACGGGGTCCGAAGTGATAATTCATCTCAAGTTCTCAAACTACGATAGGATTACATGGTTACTGTCACGGGAGCGTTTTTGGTCAGTCCAAAGTCACACCCGTGCGGCAGTCAAGTTGCCCACTTGACTCAGTCTTTCCCAACACTTAGCCAAATTTCAGCAAGTTTGGCCCTAATCAAATTTTTAGGCAGCAAATCAGAAAATCAGAAAGAACACAAGCCAATATGGGAAAATTCCCAACACTTGTATTAATTCCGAAAATATACAAAGGAACCCTCACTTTGCTATGAACACAAGTCATTTACTGCACACTTTTGACAAAGAACACAAGTCGTTCTTAGCCAACACTAAGACCAGTCCAAGCCTAGCCTTAGTCCCTTTTGAAACACTTTGAAACCCTCACGTTTCACTTTTGTTTCCCACTTAGAATTTCACACAAAATTTCCCTCCTGCATCTGACTAAGTCCAAAGGCCCTATTTATAGAACATAGGCAGCCTTTAGAACTTGACAGCACATTGACACTTGTTGTCTACAGCTTTTGCCACTTGTCGGGCCAAGGCTAAATCAGATCCTAACTTGTGTTGACATCCCCAACTACTTAGGCCATGATATGCACGAAATTATAATGGATACAAGCATAAATCAGTCATGGGGACAAGAGGTTATGACAAGGTAACCGCCAAACTGCTTTGGCATGTGCACTGCATGTGTTATCTTGACTTGGCCAGCTGAATCACGCCCAAGGGTGGCATTGCGCCCAGCCTTGGCTCATCTTGACATTGCTCCGCGCCAATGCCTTGCCCGCAATCCGCCGCCCATGATTTTGCCGCACACGCCCGACGCCGCTGCCGCCCGCACATTACCTTGACCGAGTTTCTTCCTTGCCCATGTCAACCTTTGTTTCCCTCGTGCCATTGCTTGTATTTTCCTTCACATAGACTTGCCTTAGTTATTGAAAGCCTTTGCCATCATTCCGCACATCCGCATTTTAGCTTAGCCCACATTTGTCGCAGCCACAACCCAAAGTGCCCGTGCCACTGATTTTGGCGTGCATGCCATGCCATGCCGCCCCAACACTGCCCACACTGCCTTGTCAAGCCTTTGCCAAGCGTGTCTTGCCTGCCCCAAGACCTTGGCCAATACTTGCCCACAACAGCCCTCATGACAATGTCTTGTCCGTCGCTCGCACGATCATTTTACCTGCACCTAGGCCATTGACAAGGCCATCACGCCCCAATCCTTGCCACAGCCGTGCCACGCCCGATGACAAAGAGTCAGGTCCTAACAGTTACCATATCAGCGGGGCTTCTCTAGTGAAATATTTTTTTGATGGACATGCAAAAAAAATTATACTCTTGTGCAGACACAGGGAACAACACTTCTGTGAGGACGTATGTGTGACTTATAATGCTCATCACTAAAGTGTGCCCTTTTTTTTGGGTTCAAAGGGATTTTATTTCATTAACTAAGTAGCACAACAAGAATTGTTTACCCCAAAATTGGATAACAAATAAATTTGTATGTGATTTTAAGGATATGTGGTATGATCCATCACGAACAATTAAGAATATCAAATAAATGAGTTAAAATTGAAATAAACGTTCAAACCAGTTGAAGTATTGTGACCAAGCCTAAATTTAGACTGACTAGTAACCTTGTCCTCGGTTGGACACTCGATTAAAGCCCGGTCGTGAATGAAGGACAGAACAAATGAGCAAAGCTTTTACAATAACTAAAAGACGGAAAATACACTTGTATTGCTTTGATTTGCATATTATAATGTGTGTTACAAAAGAAAAACTTTCCCTTTATATAGTAGGGGATAGGGGTGTACAAATCGAACGGGATAACCGCACCAAACCGAAAAGTCAAACCAAACCAAGTAAAAAATCCGACTAGATTTGGTTTGGTATTGAGTAAAAAAATCCGAACCAAACCGGCATATAAATATATAATTTTTATATGTACTTTTAAGATTTTATATACAATTTTCTTTAAAAAAATATCTAGAAATATTTGGAATTATCTTGCTGGATATAATATTTAATAGTATATGAAGTGCTCCATATTTATTAACCTTAAATAATGGGTTGTATGATCACTTTCTCATCAAGTGTTATTGAAATGCGTCAATTTCTTTGTTCTTCCATATTCATATCATATGTTAAGATCTATTAAATTGTTATATCTTTTTCGAATGTGACGTGATTGTTATTATTTAGGTATCATATTAATTTTTATGTTTAATTACTAAATTCGGTTAACCTTGAAAGTGTACATGAATGAAACATTATTGTCAGAAGACTTAAAAAATGACTATTATGTGTTACTAAGAAAATTCCCTCATAAGAATATTTTAATAGATAAAATATTTGTCAATTTTTTATATTTTACTAAACATATATTTACTTATCAAAAATTTAACAAAGGAAGATTGAAATAATATTAAAGTAACAAAAAATACGAAAAATCCGACAAAATCGATCCAATCCAAATCGATATAGTTGGTTTGGTTTGGTTTTGATAAAAACCGAACCAAAACGGTCCATGTACACCCCTAGTAGGGGAGTTTTAACCTTAGTAAAGTCTAAAAAGGTAAAAATCTTCAATTTCCGGTAATTACTGGTCCATAATCGACATTGAGCGAGATCCGCGCCGTGATATCTGGTTGAGTGCGAGTATCACGGCCCTTTATCCGTCAAGCGTAACCGTTCACTGTGTCTCCCGAGGTCTTAGAACTCATTCTTGGCCCGGGGCGCGTCGCTTTACCATACCCCATGACGGTCACATCGTTCATCCTTCCTAGATCTCGACAAAAGGTCTCGTGCATCTGTGCTCTCCCTTCGTTTTCTCATCGGAAAATCGGGGCAGGCATTACCCCCGATTTTACCCGTACAGAGATAGTCCACTCATTTTTCGGAGAGTAGGTTTACCGAAACGATGTGAAGCGATAGATGAACCCCGGTTTCTTCATTCGTACGTTACAATCGAGATGACGGGTCAACCAAACGTCCCATCAGTTGCGTCGTTCTGACTTCGGACACGTGTCAGTCGTCGGTTGACTGTCCTCGAATGCGAAATGACGCGCATTGATTATTGTTCCTCTATAAAAGCTCCGATCCTATTTCCTTCTTTCACTTTCTGATTCCAGAACTTACCCTCGAATTCTCTAATTGCTTTCAACTCCTCCAAATCATCATACATTGCTCCTTAAACCTTCATATCTTCATCTTCAATCCTCATACGTTCTCTTTGGATCTTCAACCCAGACATTCACACCCAAATCTTTATATTTTTCCTTCAAATTTTCATATTTTCCAGATTACGATGGTAAAAACTTCCAAGTCAGTGCCTCAGCAAACTGATCCTTCATCTTCCAATCCTGCTCCTTCATCTTCCAATCCGGCTATAGATGCCGTGGTGGCCGTTCCCGAGGTTGCTCAGGAGCCCCCTTTGAAGAGCTTCGTACCCGGGGGATGCTCTATCGGGAATGATTTCCACGTCGAGAAGGCCTCTAATCAACATGAAATGATTTCGATACTATAATTCGGTATTTACCGTAGTATGCACGGTCCTATTTTGGCCTATGTGTGATCGATGAACTTTCAGGGCCATATAAATCCTTGAAATGACTAGCTTAGCCTTTGTGGACCATAAAAACAAAAGTTGCCAGTACTTCACTAGCTTACTCTGTGGAAATTAGAATATCTTATGTTGTCAATGGATCCATCTGCTTTTGTACCCCATGTAGCCATCTTCCCTTTCCCTGCACAGGGCCATGTCAACTCCATGCTTAAAGTTGCCCAGCTTCTTTCACTTTCCAATTTTCACGTCTCCTTTCTTGTTACAGTTGACACCCATGACCGCCTGCTTAACCACACGGATGTTCTGTCCCGATTTGGTAGCGAATTCCATTTACAAGCACTTCCCGGTGGGATTTCTTTAGATGAGATGAATACTCGTGATGGTGTAGGAAAGTTATACGATTCGGTAAACACAATTGCGAAACCATTTTTAAGAGAGTTTCTAGCGGAGTCACCTGTGACATGTGTCATTGCCGACGGAATCTTAAGCATGGTGGCTGATGTAGCCGAGGAAATCAACTTACCTATCATCTATTTCCGCACCATCAGTGCCTGTGCCTTCTGGTCCTACTTTTCAATCCCTGAGCTACTTCAAGCTGGCGAACTTCCCCTCAAAGGTAAATTGGAAAGGGAAAAACATGATTGTTACTTTAATTACAGCTACCGACAGTTTAGTGGAACTAATAAGTGGTGGTTTTCTGGTTGAGATTTCAAAAAAAAAAAAAAAAAAAAAAAAAAAAAGTAATATTTGAAGTTGAAGTTAAAAAAAGGGGCGTGAATTCAATTCTCACAGTCTCCCTTCTTATTTTTCTTCCCCGTCACTCATATGTAATAAAAAGGAAAGTAAAATTTACTACTGTTAATCTGCACTTGTTATAGATTTTTAGATGTAGTTGACATTCAAATGAATTGATGGTCTATTTAACAGTCAATTTCAGTTTAAAGAGGTTCAATATTTGTTAATAGAGGTTCAATTATTTACAGGAAACGGAATGGACATCACATTGACAAAGGTAAAAGGCATGGAAGATTTTCTGAGAGGTCGAGATCTGCCAAGTTTTTGCAGGGTGAGTGACTTAACTAGCGCGGATTTCAGGCTATTATCGACTGAGACGCGACAAACCCCTCGAGCTCGGGGACTCATACTCAACACATTTGAAGACCTTGAAGGCCCCATACTTTCTCAAATTCGCACAGTTTGTCCAAATGTTTACACAATTGGACCAGTTCATGCCCATCTAAAGGCTAGACTTGCAACAAAATGTACCTCTTCAAATAGTTTGTGGCAAGAAGATGAAAGTTGCATCAATTGGCTCGACACGCAGCCACCAAAATCTGTTTTATATGTTAGTTTCGGAAGCATTGCGGGGGTGACAAAGGAGGAGCTGTTAGAGTTTTGGTACGGTCTAGTGAATAGTGATCAAAACTTCTTATGGGTAATGAGGGCAGACCTGATAATTGGACAAGAGGGAAAACATGAGATTCCTGTGGAACTAGAGCAGGGTACTAAGGCAAGGGGCTATATGGCTGATTGGGTTCCACAAGAAAAAGTCTTGGCCCATAGGGCTATTGGGGGTTTCTTGACTCACTCTGGTTGGAATTCCACACTGGAGAGTATAGTTGAAGGAGTACCAATGATTTGCTGGCCAAGATTTGCTGATCAGCAAGTGAATAGTCGATTCATTGGTGAGGTTTGGAAGATGGGATTGGACATAAAAGATACATGTGACAGAGACATTATTGGAAAATCAATTAGAAATCTGATGGAGAAGAGAAGAGGTGAATTCTTGCAAAGAACAGAGCAGATGGCAAGTATGGCGAGAAGAACTGTCAATGAAGGCGGGTCGTCGTACATTAATTTGGACCGTCTTATACAGGACATAAGATTGATGTGTCTGCCACTGAAACAGACCTGATTCAGCTGAATCTTGATTTTGTAAGTGGTTGTTAGCTGGTATTAAATTGTTGTCTAGAGATAGCAGATTTATTCTGCCCCTTCTGAATAACTCGAGCAACAAATGTAGCTTCACTTTTAGAACTGCAGTCATTTATAAGTAGCTATTCAATATATAAAGATCAAAATGATAACATGAAAACAACAACAAGTACAATTGATTTTAAGTTCACAAAATTGCAACTTCCCTGCGATTCAATTTATTTAGTTGAACAGCCTCTTGTTTAAAGTTTTAAGCACAATTTCAAGAAAAGTAATGCAGCGAAGGCCTCAGCGAGCTGCAGCATCAGATATTGTAGGTGATAGGATATAGTAGATATGCCCCAGATACAATCTCATATTTGATGATTTGATCATATTTTTGTGAATGTTATTTAACATAAAATATATGACATTTGATATTATTTTATCATAGTTATTAATAATTGGTTAATTAATATAATAAGGTCCTTGATTAAATTTTGACACTTGTCATCGTGATGGAGATCATGATAATGAGAGCAAAAGTCTCTTACTATTTAATCTAAATTTGTTTTGATCGTAAGATTATTAATTTGGACATTAGTAATCCGATTATATCAATATCTATGTGATCGTCTTTATGAGATAAAGATTAGTTGAACTCATTAACTAAATCACATATATTGATGGTGCATATAGATATATGATCATTGAACCGACTCATTAGATAATTCCTAATGATTAGAATTATCCTAAACTGTCAATAGGATATTATCTTGAAGATGTGATCTATAGTTTCCTTTGACCTTTGATTGTGATAGTAATTGATAAGTTATTTATTGTGTTTTGATACTAGATACTTATGGACCTAGGGCGATAGTTGCAAGGATATTGGGCATGATTAAATGCATGTAGAATTATTGATTGATCAAGATGGAATCTGTCAACTCTTGATAATAAGTTTAAGCTCCATGTTGTCATGAATTATAAACGACCAAATTAAGACATTGGCCAGGACAATTGAATGAAAGAAGAAAAGAGTTTCTTATGTCATTCAATTGTCGATTATATTTAGCTGGTCGCCTATTTTGATTTGACAGTTAAACGATATCCTAGGATAACTCAGAGCTATAAGGACAGAAGGAATTACTCCATTATTCTTCGACTAATTCTTGAGCGTAAATTGTATACTTCATATTATCCGGTCGTAAAGGAGTGCTGCTAGACGCCATCCTTGATTAGTATATTGATATGATTAATTTACTACCAGCTTAGTATTGAACATATGGGGTCACACACAAACGAATGTTCTCATCTTTGCTAAAGGATTAAGTATTTTATTATTTAATAATTAAATTATAAAATTTAATTAGTCAAATAAATAAATAAAATTTTAGTCCAAATAAATTATTATTATTATTATATTATTTGTTAGCACAACTGATATAATTAATATTGTGAATAAATAAGTAGAATATTAATGAAGATTAATTTGATCAATCCAATTGAGAATTGGATTGATGTAAAAGTTGATTTCAAACCCATAAGAATGAGATTGGCAGTTCTAATATAAAATATTAGCTAGTACCTAAAGTCCAATTTGGAATTGGACACTACCAGCATTCACGTGAAAGTGCACAAGGACGCTTCCCATTCAGATGGGATTCTAATTTTCCATAAAAATTCGAGTAAGGTTTAATTTTTGGAATAAATATTTGAAAGAATTACAAGAAAATACACATGACTTCACACCATAATAAGAAATGGCCCATATTTTTAAGTTTTACCCTACCTAGCCCATATTGTACATATTTTGAAAACACTAACTCTTGCAAATTTAAAATTTGTGTTCTTACAACCATTGCTTCTAAAAGCTATGGAGTTAAATCTTTGTTCTCACAATCATTGCTTTCACTCTCTCTTCTTCTCACATCTTCTACATATGAGTCAAGTTGACATTCGCCATAACTGCTTCTTTCTCTATATCATCTGGTTGCAATGTAAAAAAATCGAAGAGTACGTAAAAGTCCACCATTGAAGGTCATTCAAAGCTTTTCTTTCAAAAATAGAATTTTTTTAGTTTGTTAGTTATTTGGATTGGGTGTTGTTCCAATTCATTGAAAATATCAAAAGGTGTTCAAAGTTTAAATTTGAAGTGATTTGGAGTAGATTTAAGCAAGATTTGAGTTAAATTTCAGAAAAGACGCAAGGAAGAAGACGACGTCAGTTTTTTGTATAATTATGTATAATCGTGTATAATAGTGTATATGAGTGTATAAACACAACTTATACACTATTATACACTTTTATACACCTTTATACAAGCGTCTGTAGACGAACTTCTTCCACGATTTTCAGTTGTAATTCTTGTTCAAAACCAGTCCAAATCTCCATTAAATGACTTCAAATTTTATATACAACCTCCTTATACAATTTCTAACAAGTCTAAATAATACCCACTCCAAATTTCTCACAAAATCAAATTCAAAATTTAAACCCACATATTTAAGCTTGTAAAATTCTAATTTTCACCATCCAAATGGATTTGGTTTGTTGAACTAATATTTGAGTCACAGTTACTGATTCGAAAATTAACTTAAAAGCTTGAGCAATCTTTTTTAAAAATTAAATAGTAATTTTGAGAACCTATTGGAGTTGGATGTTGAATCTTAGCTTATATTTTTTGGCTAGTTGGTTGTAAATTGAAATATGGGCTATAAAATTGAAAAGTAGGAAGCTCAGTTGTTCTTATGTGAAATTTTCCCTAAATATTTACCCCAAGTAAATAATTACCTCAATCAAACAGGAAAAAGAGTTACAAGTAAGGCTATATAAAGGGTGATGGAGAAAATTTGTCGTAGCAAATCTTGGAAAAGAAATTACTTTGTGAAAATAAGAGCGCAATATAAAGCCAAGAGAGAAAATATTGTTGAGAAGAAATTGTTCTATTGTTCTTTTTATTTTGAGTTGAAGTTTTTGGGAAAAACTTCATCACAAATTTTCATTCAATTGTTCGCGGGTTTCATTGATCAAAGAGTTGATAGCAAGGTTTGGTCTCGGTGTGGATACGCATACAGTCTTCTCACTTTCGAATTTTTTTGAAACGAGACCGTCTTCACCAGGTACGTCTTAGATCCAACTTTTGACATGTAAATAAACTTTAAACACAAAAAGACCTACCTAAGATTGTTATTGTCTTTCGCTGCTTATGAACACCAATACGCAATCCTTCAGTGGCATCAAAGCCGTGGTTTCTTGTGTCTAAAATTTATTTAGGAAATATTTTAAGATTATATTTGAAGAGTTCAAACCATAATATCTGTGTCTTGTACAATAGTCAAAATGTGTGAATGCATATGGATTGATATTATTTTATTGTGTATAAAATATGCATTCATATAAGTTAAACTACTGAGATATACTTCGTAATTTGAATTTGAAATTTTGTATTAGATACGATAGTAATCTATAATACATTATTGTATTCTACTATAATTTCAATTCTTATTAGCTCATGAGATGTTAATAAATAATAATATTCTGGCATGAATTTTTTTTATGTGATATATTTGATATATAAAATAAACATGTTAGAAGAATGTTGAATTTCGTTTTTATGTCACGTGCTTATTTGTTGCATAATTTTGAATTATTTATTCCATGTGATGTAAATTAATTTAGGACTAAGCATGTAGACAACCCGAACTAAATTTATGTGCTATAAAAGATTTGACCATCATGTTATTAAAAAGTATTTTAATAACAATTACTTCTTACTAAAATTTTTAGTTCTTAAATAATAAAACATAAGATATTCTATTGTAAAACTATCCATCAAAATAAATAATTTTTATTTATTTCTTATTTATAAGGAGCGGCCTGACAACCAGGAGACTTATAGTTTGAGAATATGCTAAATTATTTATTGCATTAGATGCATGGATTGAAAGAATTATTCAATTTTATACTAGATGCCTGGACAACCTGGGAGTATAAAATTTTATAAGTTTTTTGCTATCTTGATGGTTGAACTCAATTATACTAATAGGATCGACCTGACTACGAGGGGACTATTTGACATAGAGTTATTTAAGCAAATTGTATGGGGATACAATTGGTAAGAGTAACTACCTTTGAAATATATGAGAGAAACGACTTTACTTCCAAGGGGCTCATACATATTGTTAAAGGATTCCTTTACTCCATTAATAGAAATAAAAATTTCTTAAACTATACCGAAGGTAAATAGTGTAAAATAATTAGTAAAATTATCATTTAGATAAAAGTCAATGTCTTTATGATATATGTAAATATGTTCTTATATTACTGCCTTTTCTTTACAATATTTTAGATTTCGCAATATGTCTGTTATATCACTATGTGAAATACTTTAGACAAACATGTTCGTAGGGCCAAACTTTGATGACTGGTATACAAATTTGAGAATTGTTCTCATGCATGAAAAGCTCATTGATGTGATCGATAAGCCTACAAAGATAGTCCCTGTAGAGGATGATATTGAAGGCACCAAGGTTTATCACAAATAACTGGAAGAATGTCGTGCTATTAAACGTATCATTCTCGCTTCTATGAGTTCTGAACTCCAGAGGAAACATCAGAATATGGATCCAACTACAATCATTGAACTTCTTAAGAAGATGGCTGATACACAGTTGAACATTAAAAACTCTCCAATTGGACCACATGTCAATCGTTTGATTGATCTTATTGAAGAACTTGAGAAGTTGGGGTGCAAGCTTGGCAAAGAGCTTTCTGAAGATGTGATCTTGCAGTCACTATCTGATGTTAAATATATTAACTGTAAGAAGAAAGAGCATTGGAAGAGAAACTGCAAGGAGTATCTTTTAATTCTAAAGGACAAGAAACAAGGCGAGACATTAATGGAAAATATTTTCAAAGTTTCTTTAACTGTTACTAATTCTTCATTGTGTGTATTAGATACTGGCAGTGGTTATAACATCTGCAATATGTTGCAAAGGGTTTAAGATAAGTAGGAGACTAAGTAAAGGAGAAGTTAATCTACAAATTGAAAATGGTGCAAAAGTTGCAACCATAGTTGTAGGATCAATTTCTTTAATAACGCCTTCGGAAGTACTTATGCTGGATGATTGTTATTATATTCCTAAATTTAT